AGCCTGCTTCTCCCTCTCCCACTCCCCCTGCTTGTGTTCCCTCTCTCACTGTGTCTCTCTCTGTCAAATAAATAAAATCTTTAAAAAAAATAAAAACAAGGTAACAGTGGTATGTACCACCTACCAAATGATTACTCCAGTGCATCTTCAATACCTGGGCGTCTGACTGACAGATGTGTCTAATTGTGTCTTTCACGCAACCAAAGAGTTCTTTATCAGATGCACTATGTCTCCCGCCTGCTTTTTGGTACAAAGATTTAGAGTGAGCCAGCTAGTAAGTTCTCACTACTAACTTAGGTACCAAGCCCCATACGAAATAACATTATTATTCTATGGCTTGATTTATTGGGAGAGAGCATAGGAAATGCATCACATTATAAGAATGTTCTAAAGAAGACGACAGAGCAGGACCAAGCAGGAATCAGCACCTGCAGACTGGTCATAGGACATCCTGTTGCTGTACTGGTTCCATGCCAGGGTTCTACCTCAAGAGGATCCATCAGCAGCCCTAGAATTCTTCCCTCACTCAAGTTCAAAAGCTAAAGAAAAGAACTAAGCTACACACAAGGTGCCTTTTTTTTTTTTAAACATTTTATTCATTTATTTGACAGAGAGATAGAGAGAGAGCACAAGTAGGCAGAGCGGCAGGCAGAGGGAGAGGGAGAAGCAGACTCCCCGCGGAGCAGGAAGCCCGACGTGGGGCTCGATCCCAGGACCCTGGGACCACGACCCGAGCCGAAGGCAGACGCCTAACCGACTGAGCCACCCAGGCGCCCCGGTGCCTTTATTTTTGACTCAAGACTTCGTAGTCTGAAATCTTTTATCTGTTGCTCCTCTGAATGAGTCAAGGCTTTTCCAGTCCTTCTCTAATACATATCTATTTTTTGAGGTTTGGATTTGAACTAGTAATTGGAGCTTTACAACACAGTATTTGCAAGCAGAAAAAATTTCAAAAGTTTTGGATGCTATTTGTTTATTGAAGTCACCTTCCGGTAACTGAACAAAAATAAAAGGAAGAAGCTATAGTTACAAATGATCAGCAATCCCAAGTCCCCGTGAATGAAGGGTGGCAGTTCACAGGTGGGTCTCTCTCGCCAAGGGAACACTGTCTGCCTTGGCTCTTTTGAAGGGTGAGCAGGTCATTCTCCAAAAGAAATGGACCCTAACTTTAGTGTTTGTAAATGTCCTTCCACATTCTCACAGCTGAAAGCATGAATCATGAAAGGCCCTACTCATCCAGCAAAAATGCATTACAAACAAGCTGAGAATTACAAAGTGTGCGATGCCTTCATATCTGAAAAGGGACATGTCACAAAAACACAGCACTTTGCTGGGAAGGCATCCTTAAAATACTTAGAATAACGAAAATACTTTTTATATCAGAGATTGTCCACTAGAATGGCCTGGCTTACTCCAGAGAGTCATGTTAGAATCTCTGGGTAAGTGAAGCAAGTGTAGACTGAAAAAGTGTACTCAATACCATAAATACCTTCATTGTTTTTTAGTAATAATATTTATTCTGAAAATTCTAAGACATTAAAAAGGGTATGAGATTTTCATACTTACCAAGTATGGGAATAAAAGGTTGATAAACCCTTTAAATAAGATAAATAGTAGATTTCAAATATTGACAAGATACATCTTAACAGTTATAGTTTGCAAAGGTGATCATTTAAAGGGAAATTGACCTTTTACTCATGAAGCAACTCAGAATTCAATTGGATTTGATCGAATACAGAAAGTTACATCCTCCAGGGAGGATCCGTCTTGGTAAAGGGACTTTCACAGGAGCAAGTCCTTCTGCCCAGACCCAGAAAATGACAAATATTGGAGGGCAGGGGAAGTAAATTAATGAGGAAGCAGAGGGAACAATCACTTGAATTTTTTTTGATAAATGTTCATTAGTATTGAATCCTATACATAAGAGGAATAATAGTATGATACTTGGTTTTAATTATCCTCTGAAAAACTCAAGGCACTTATATATTTCTCTTCTCTCCTGCGTGAGAGAGACTGGCTAGGTTACAGAGAGAACATTTTTTCCATTTCATAACTGGAAGAAACATTGGGATCAGATTCCTGCTTTTGATGTCCTTTGGAAATCCACAGCAGGTACTGAGCTTCGCTGGAGACAGCCTTGGTGATTGGGGCACTTGAGGAGGTGAGTAAAGTCTTCAATTAAGTGGAAACTTCACCTGAGGCTTTCAATTAAGTGGAAGCCTCACCTGAAGCAAGTTCTGTTTCCTCAGCAGTCCTGAGAAGGCCAGGATTTATGGCATGACCATGAGTTTTTGTAGCTGTCTGAGAAGAGGAAGAACTTGATACCACTGGGTCAAAATGACCCTTATTTTCATAAATTCTAAGCCTTTCCTATGTGGAGGAAGTTGAGGCCAAAGTACAATCCTTTATAACATGTGTCCTAGCCAGAATTCTGAGTTTTGGTAATCACGGGTCTCATGGAAAAATGACCTGAATCCTGACCCACGGTCATTAACCAAGTCGGGGCAGAAGGAATGGTGAGCCAGGAAATAGAGACAATTGAAGCTTCAGGCTAAGTTATTCATCTGGGGTCGGTCATTGGTCTTATTTGGAAATGTTCTTGTTGTGCCACGGGGAGATATTCAAGCCGTCTTACTGGTAAATTATGTGTATTGTGAGCTCCTGAAAGAGAATTTCTCGATGTTTTCTCAAGACCACATTACACCCTTCAGACCCTTTCTGCCACCATTTGCCATCGGAAACTGTAATCGCCCCCCTAAAAAAGCCCTAATGACCCTGTGAACTCTCCGGAAGAAGATCTGTTTCCAGACACCTTTGCTTCTCAATAGAAAACTGGCCACGCATCATTTGTATCTTGTTAGGCAGCACAGGGGCTTGGAACTTTCTGTCGCGGGGGCCCGTCAATTAACGCTGCATCCAGAAAATCGACACCTTCTCGAGCACCCTGACCGGATTCGGCAGAACCATGCAGGCCGGCCGCAAGTACCACTGTCCAGATTCCCAGATGTTGCCAGGATCCAGGCACTTGCCGTTCTAAATAAACAGTCAGTGGCCTTGGGTATACGGTTTGGTTTGTATATCTAACTAATTTGGTTACTCTCTGGCAGCACTATGCTGCGGAAGAACAGGACTTGAACTTTCTCCTTCACCTGATCAGAAAAAGAAGGCAGGGGGCCAGGCACTTCTGTCCACGAGGGCACCCATGGATTATCAGAACAGACACTGATCACTGATTCAGCCTCGGGGCCATAAAATGCACTGGAAACTCAGAGCAAACTTGACATTCAGCTTTACAAGAGGCAACACCACAGCGGCTCCATGCACGACCCCCAGACCAACGTGCCACCCCGGGCCGCCCTGAGATGGTAAATACCTAAGCCTGCCAGCAAATTCACCCGCCAGCAGACAAATACAACAGATCTAGTGGATTGTACATCAGGTTGGCTAAGCGAAGAAAAAGGTATGTAGGAGGAATGAGGTTTGGTCATCTCATCTTTTACCCCTACATTCCTTCAAAATTACTGCCTGGAGCTTGCAGTTCAGCAAGCACTTCCTTGTTCCTGTCTTGTGTTTTTATATAATTGGTGCAAATGTGTGAGCAGTTGCCCCCAGTGGCCTAGAGCCCCTCTGAGGAAAGACACCCTCATGTGGTCCCTGAATTCCCACATCCAGAGCAGGGATGCAATCCACATTTCGCGAATGCGGTGGAGGTGGCTGGATCACCACCAAGAGGGGCTCCGCTAAGAACCATGCGCTAAATCGTGGGCAAACCATCGCAGGAACCGACGGCATGGCCCTTGTTCCCCGGGACCCCAGTCGTGCCCTCCCAGGATGGCACGTGAGAGGCTTCGGCTATTTTCCGACAACGGAGGGTGAGTTACACTCAGAAAGCTCCAGGCGTCCCACCAACAGCCCAGTCCACCACACGTTACCCTCCGCCTTCGTGTCTGTCCTCCCTTCATCTTCTCATAAAGGAGTTTCTTGTTCTAGAATGGGGAGAAAAAGAAAACACAAATGCACAAGTATGGATCAAATTTGGTGAGCGTCTATTTTAGAAGCAATACTTGGTGTGTCCCCCTGGATATTTGCATACGCATATTTTGGAAACAAAGCTGGATGAAAGGAATGTCGTGTCAGAAAGATAGACCACAAGAGAAAAGCTGGTGGTTGTGTAGCTTTTAATAAAGTTCTCTGCAATGCCCCGAGGCACCCCAGTGTCACCAACAATCATATAAACAGGAAAATACGACATTCTAAAACACACGGGGCACTGGAAACTCGGCTCCTCACTTTGAACAGCCTTTGTTTAAAACAAAGTTTTATCTCGTTTTACTTTTGTACCCAACTCCCTTTTTATGAGCTTTACACATAAACTGTTCTCTAGAGGAGTGTCTGACTATTAATAACAATCCTCTATGTCAATAAACGAGACCTTCTGACTTCTGCGACCTTTCCTCCTGTGGTTTCGGTCAGTGTGTGCCCCCAGTCAAGACAATCGGAAAACCATTTGGTCTATAACATTTTTAATAGAGTGAACCTTTTAAAAACTGCCAAAAAACATCTTGGCAGAAGGAAAGCTATGTTGGGGGAAAAAAAAAAACCGGGCTCTGTTACCACAGTTTGTATAAGTGTTTCCACATATTGCTGTATTTCAAACACATAGTGGACTTAAATGAGCTCTAGAATATCGGACACATGCTCCGCAGATTTCTCTTCTACTGAGATTATAGACGACAGAACACTTAATCTGAAGGCAGAACGGGAGAAGGGGCATTGGGGGGACATATTTGTGTTGGCTTTTTATTCTTTTTTCATCAGAAGGGAAATAATGTATAAAAGAGATGATTCATCTTACTCTAAATAAAATATACTGACACTGTTTTTTGTTTTTTTTAAAAAAGATGACAGTTCTGTTAAGGAACAAGTTTATACAACGCTTTTATCCTCTGAACTGTTTGGATATAGAGACTTTTTTTTTTTTTTTAATGGTAGATTTGGAAACGAAAATGACAAATGCCAAGAAGGAGCTTCATAATTTTCATGTTCATTAAAATCGACCCCACCCGCTATTTACCATGCGTTATCTCTTGCCTGAACCTCAACTATGCAGGGAGACCGGCGCCGGGGAGTGAAGGGGCCTCCGCGGCCGCAAAGGCCGGTGCTGGCCGCAGCCTCGGCCCTCCGCTCACTTGGGGAACTGGTCAATCTAATATTGGAAGGGAGGAAAGACAGACGTGCAGACCACACCCTCGAAGAATGAGCACATCGCCGTGAGGCTCATTCTTGTCGTCTGTAGTTGCCTCTCCGTGGATGTAACAACTCTTGCTGCGCAGAGAACGTCTGGGAGCTTGTGCCGACGCTGGGGCAGGGGGTTGGGAGATGGGGGGCCAGGACAGAGGCTCTTCATGTGCATCGTCAGGGTCCGCCGCCTGAATGGGTGGGAGGGCACGGGGCCTGGAGCCTGAAGGATGGGTGGGGCAGCCCCTCCGCCGCGGCAGAGCTCCACTGCGCCACCAGCAGGGTGAAGGCGGCATCGTTGTCCTTCATCTCCTTTAGAAGGTTGTGGGGCAGATGATACCAATGAACAGCCTTCATTCAAAAAGAAGTGCAAAAAGTCTAGCAAGTCTTCCTCTCAGAGATGGTCCCTGGGTTTGCCTAAGACCCAGGTTTAGGATTAGCCGGATGATGCTTTCCCACACCTGCATGAAAGGGGCTGGGGCACTCCTGACTAGCTCTGCTATTGAATGGATTTAAAGGCAAGGATTGTTAGGTACAGGGTAAGAGAAGTATACGAAAGGAACCAGAAGAAAGCAGCTCCCCCTCCCCTGACACCCATTCCTTGTAGATGGGGTGGGATGGGGGAGTGGTGAGCCTGTTTTCCATGTGAGTAGCAGGTTCAAGTTCACAAAAAGGGCTTTCCACTGTGCCATCAAGATTTTGGACAACTGCCCAAATCTTGGTTTCAAATTCCATTCCTAAATGGAACCAGGGAGACTTCTCGGAGAATGTCTGATTCCAGGGCCAGGGCAGGGAAAGTACGAGGATCAATGAAGCTGAAATATCTAATTGTGCCACAGGGAGGAACGTGCTCAGAAAGTGGTGAGTCATGTCAAAAGGACAGAGAAGCCAGCTTGGAGACTCCCACTGGCTAAATCTAGGACAGTTTAAACACCAAAATAAGTAATAATAAGAATCTACAAACCATCAAATAAACCAGTTTTTAAATACATAAATGAATAAATGGGGGAAGAGGGGAGACCCTTGCTTAGAGTAGAATGCCAGCCAATAAATGTAGAATGAGTAAGAGAGTTGAAAATCACCATTTGACAACTACCATAGTTATTGATTCTGGCGAGTATCATCAAAGGAGACTAAAATTGTTGGCTCAAAGCAATGTCCACAATAGCCAAACTGTGGAAAGAGCCAAGATGTCCATCGACAGATGAATGGCTAAAGAAGATGTGGTATATATATACAATGGAATATTATGCAGCCATCAAAAGGAATGAGATCTTGCCATTTGCAACGACGTGGATGGAACTGGAGGGTATTATGTTGAGTGAAATAAGTCAAACAGAGAAAGACATGTATCATATGATCTCACTGATATGAGGAATTCTTAATTGCAGGAAACAAACTGAGGGTTGCTGGAGTGGGGGGTGGGGTGGGAGGGATGGGGTGACTGGGTGATAGACACTGGGGAGGGTATGTGCTGGTAAGCGCTGTGAATTGTGCAAGACTGTTGAATCTCAGATCTGTACCTCTGAAACAAATAATGCAATATATGTTAAGAAAAAAAAAAGAAGAAGAAGGTAGCGGGAGGGGAAGAATGAAGCGGGGGAAATCGGAGGGGTAGACGAACCATGAGAGATGATGGACTCTGAAAAACAAACAGGGTTCTAGAGGGGAGGGGGGTGGGAGGATGGGTTAGCCTGGTGGCGGCTATTGAGGAGGGCACATTCTGCATGGAGCACTGGGTGTTATGCACAAACAATGAATCATGGAACACTTCATCTAAAACTAATGATGTAATGTATGGGGATTAACATAAGAATAAAATAAATAAAAAAAAATTGTTGGCTCAAGTTCAATGGGGACAGAACATGTATACAGTCTGAAAGTATCTCCCCACAGATTATTAATTTCAAAGGGAAAAAAACAGTAATTTTACACTTGAGAAACCTGGCTGACATCACTTAGACCAGGTCACTACCAAATCTGGGACAAAGTGGCATCACATGTGTCCTGATGTCAACAGTAAGAGGAACATCTCAGAAAGGCATAACTCAAGGCTAATCACACGGAAACATGAGGCAAACCCCAAGTGACTCTTTAGCGGGGTCGAGGTCCTGAAAGACAAAGAAAGGCAGAGAGGGTCCTTGTTGCCCCATTTCTTTCTTGGCTCAGGCTCTGGCTGTGATCAGCTGCTTCCGGGGAAGAAAGAGACCCTACTCACCCCAAACGGGCTGATGAAAAGATATGAAAAGCACTTGGAAAAGAGAAACATTTGCTTTTCGAGAGAACTTTTTCCTGAGTAGCAGTGAGCAATTACTGTGTGAAGGAGGGGGCGACCGATACCTACGGTGGCCAGCCTGTGGGTATAGCCACTCGACGCTGGGGGCACACACACTGTCCAAAAGGCAGCCAGTCCTAGACAGGACTCGATGAGACCCCTGTACAGGACGCATTATGAGCCATGAGCCATGAAACGATAAGGAATCTGTTTTTAAAGAACTCCTGGAGTCAGATGGTCCAGTTCAAATCCCAGCTCTGCTGATCATCAGCTCTGTGGTGTTGGGCAGGCTACCCAACACCCCCTAAGCCTGGATTTTCTCATCTGTAAAATGGGAGTGATCGGGATGGGCAGATCGAATGAGATAATTCATGTACAGTTTTTAGCACAATATCTGGCACACAGTAGGTGCTCAATAAATATTACTATTTACTACCATATAATAAAATACAACGACTCTTCATCTTCATTCCCGTCATCTAACAGAAGGCCTGAGGGCATGTGATGTGCATTTAACAAATGTGCTTGATGCATTAACAAAGAGAAAGTAATGCAGAAAATAAGACAGACGCTGATATTTATAATATATGAATCACTGCTAAAGACCTAGCTGAGCTCCAGCTAATGTCAAAAACAGACAAATGTTATTAGCATATAAGGAATCATGGTGTTGTGTGCCATTCTCTTGTGCAAGACCATTACTTTGTTAACTTACAATCCGGCTGAGCTTAGGACAGGCTTGAGACCATCGTTCTCTATAAACAGGGAGGAAGGCCTCTCAACCCCAGCACAGAAAGGCAAGACATACAGCAGGTCCCCCTTATCCGAGATTCTGCTTTCCACGGTTTTAAGTTACCGGTGGTCAACCACGGTCTGGAAGCAGATGATCCTTCTTCTGACATATGGTCACTTACTGTTACATTAAATGCCTACGTATTCACCCCACTTCGTCTCATCACAAGAAGGGTAGTGTAAGTGCAATAATGATATTTTGAGAGAGAGAGACCACATTCATATAACTTTTATTCCAGTGTCTTGTGATAATTGCTCTATTTTATTATTAATTACCGTTGTTAATTTCCTACTGTGCCTAATTTATAAATTCACCTTTATCATGTATGTATAGGAAAAAACAGTATACATAGGGTTTGGTACTATGCAGTTTCAGGAGTCACGGGGGGTCTTGGAACAAATCCCCCTCGGATAAGGAAGACTGCTGTACTCAATTCACACTTCCAAGTGAAGATCAAGGAAATCGGGGCACCTAGTCGGTTAAGCGTCTGCCTTCGGCTCAGGTCATGATCCCAGGGTCCTGGGATCGAGCCCCGCATCGGGCTCCCTGCTCAGCGGGAAGCCTGCATCTCCCT